TAATTGGTTACGAATAGAAAAAATTATTATTTTCCAAGAAAAACTGCAAAATAACCAAAAAATTAAATGTTTTCGATAGAATATTAATAAAAAATCAAATTATATTCAAATGTATTCTCAATATTTGATTAAAATTTTGAATATATTAGAATGTTTGATAATTTTCTCCTCATATCGCCGTCAGAGGGCAGCAAAGTTGGCGTGGGGGACGCTAATAATCTTATTTCTTGCATAATTTTCTCTCTCTTCTCACGAGAAAAAAGATAATTTGAGAGTGAAAATAAAGCTTTTCACTTGGAGAAAACGTGATTTGATCAGATGATCAGCTGATTCAGTTTGGAAAGGCATGGAGAAATTCCGATTCTAATTCCCAAAGGTAAATTCGGCTTAAGGATAGAGCGCTGTTCTTTTTCTCCTACTTTTAGGAGTTCGAATCCAGTTTGTGGCATATTCTGTATCTTTTTTTTCCTCTTTAGATATTTAATATTTAAATTTAATAAAAAAATGACTTTAATTTCGTTCTGCGAGAGTTTTAGTGATTGATTTTGTCGATTTCGGTGATATTTGTTAAGGAAATACAATTGGAACTTCAATATGCCTTTAAATTGCTGCCCTCTAGCGGCAGAATGTGGAGAAAATTATCAAATTTTTAATGAAAATTACGAAAAATCAATAAATTATCAATTAATCGCAAAGTTAGTGGTGTGAAGTCGCAAGTGACTCTCCCCTTGGCGTCAGTGCTCGCGAGAAGTTCGCGAGAATGCTATTTGCCCTCCCCTTTTGCACACCCTCCCCAAACAGTGACCTTTTCATTGCCGAACTTCGAGCACAAATTGCAATTATGCAAATATTCACTTGCTGCTCATGCGTGATCGTGAAAAGTCTCTCTCTCAGGCTATCAATTGGCAAAAGAGAGAAAAGATACACTTTAGCAGATTGTTCCAATTATAAATTACATTAGTAATTATTTCGTGTTCCGCGTTATTTCGCCTCGCTAATTTATCAGAATGGTGGAATCGAAAGCAGAGGTCGAGGCATGAGTTTTCTGCCTTCTAATCGTTTGGCTGCGCCTCATGAGTAATTGAAGTGTTGGCTGGTCCGATTCGATTGAACAAGAAGAAACAGTGAACTTTTGTGGATCTCTCAGCATCCACCACCGAAGTCGACACCATAAATAGCATGTCATATCACTCACAATCCATCGCCATGCTGAACTTCGCAGCAGCATTTCGATAATTACACCGCGCACAGCATTACGCTCAATTATTTCCTATTGCAAAATGCCATCTAACATGCACTTGAAAGCGCTGCCTTTTCCTTCCCATTTCGCCATCCGAAGTGCCCGACGCGCGTATATGTTAATCTGCGGTGGATTCGGAGAAGTGAGAAGAGTGCCTTGGAGAAGAGACACTTGTCTATGTTTGAAATCCAAAAAGACATGGAACGGAAGTCGTTGAGTAATTTGCTCTCCGGTGAGTGCGAGATTTTTATTTGGGAGAACGCAATGGAGTAAGTCGTCAAAGGTGAATTAATTGGATGATAAAATTTTCAAATAAAATTAATTAATTTGATTTAATCGGCTCACTTTAAGGTGAATCATAAAACGCAGACTTAATCACTGTTGAAACAGTAGCAAATTATCTTGTGCGTTTTTTCTGTCTGTCCGCGCGTTTCACCATTTCCAGGGTCCATGCATAGTGACACAGCGTCATTCACAATTTGTTTTTACTTAATTGTATTATATAAAACGGACGACGAGACAAATTTTAATTGCCATCGTACACCTTGGACAGGGAGGTTAATGAAATATAGAGACATGATTGCCTGGCTGGCCGTAAAAACACTCTCCGTCTCTGTCTACTTATCTCATGGCGCTTTTCTATTTTAGACACACCGTCACAGAGATCAAAGCCTGAAAAATGTTTCAAACCAAAATCATAAAGTTTCTACACTCATGGATGGATATTTGCATATATCTCGTAAAAATTCCTGCCTCTTTTTCTACCTTCTCGCTTTTTATTGGCCAATGTGTGTGCATAACATGGCAGAAGAATGAATAATACAATGGGATAATTAGGTCGGAATTGTGTTCCCTTTGAAGAAATAATTAGACAATAAAATTGTACCGCATTGTCTTCTTCATTCATGAACATCTTCTTGCACCGTGAACGAGGATCAGCCAGTCGTTAATTAATTTTTTCTCTCCCCCCATTGCGGTTAGACATCTATTTTTTGAATAAAATCATCCCATACTTGAAGCCTCAAGTGGCTGAAGAAGAAGATCAAGAAAAATCTCTCATATAAAATTTTTGGAGAGAAGTTTACCACCTGATTTTCATTTATTACCACAACTCGAGGAGGAAAAATTACATTTTGAATGGGCATTTAGTGGAAAAGAGGTGGATCCGCTGTCAGATTTCTCCTCCAACAGTTTATTTTAATTAAGCCAAGGGGGAGATATTGTGGTTAGAATTTGTGAACAGCTCAGAAATTATTCAATATTTTCAATATGATGCGTTTAAAAGTCACTTTCAAAAGGAATTGACGAAATACTTGGAGAAGAAGAAGTGTTCTTTACATCTTTCTAGGTTATGTTACTAATTTAAGACAAATTTTGATACTAAATAACCTCCAAAATCATTCATTCTTGTGTTAAAATTGGTATATTTTCCATTTACTAATTAAAATCTCAAAATTTCAATGATAAACTGTGTTAATTGTGCTAATATTGATCATAACCTATAAAATATTGTTTCAGGATACAGAAATTATCAATTTAACCACACTTTGATTGAATTTCTCAAGAATTTTCTCCTCTAAAATAGTAAATTTTAGCTCAATACATTCTTAATCAGTTTCTTTCAAGGATTCTTTTAAATATCTAAAGGCAATTTTTAGGTTATGTTTCAAAGTGAGTCCAAAAGAACGTGTGAAAATTTAATCACATCAAAATATCCACTGGAAACTTCAAGTATTTCATAAATACTGTTTCTCTGCGAGTTTTCAGGCTCTAAAAAGAGTAAATTGAGTCTATTTTGGGTGAAAGACTCCATAAATTTGAGGTTATGATACATTAAACCATAAAGTTCCCCAAAAAATGAAAAGAAAATAATGAAAACGCATATTTTTAAGCACTGCTGCAGTTCTGGAAGTGTCTGTGATTCTCGAGGTTGAGTAAAAGCGGTTTTTCAGTCTTATTCGGCTTATTTTGGGTGAATAAAGCCGCATTATCTCCCCCTTGAAATAGGCAGTAATTGTGCTTTTATTGTAATTCATTGTTTATCCTCTGGCGGCAACTCCTTCGGTGGCCTCCCAAAAATAGCGCCGACTATTTCGGCACAAAGCTCTATGGAGCCTCATTTGTCGTCTGCGGCTTAATCACTGACGCTCCATCATTTTCCAAATGATCACAATCAACCATCGCGCTCGCATGATGCGCCAGCCATATAAATTCCCACTCTCATGAGAAATGTCATCACACAGTCATTTGCCATTTGTCCACTTTTAAATGTTTTAATACATATTTATACAGAAATAAATAATAATCAAATAATTACGTGTTATAACACTTCGGCAATCCGCTGGGGCCCCGGCGCGGGAAACGGCGGGTGGGGCCGAGAAATGCCTCGAGCGTGGCGCCCCGCTGCGCCTCCCGCGGCGCGATCGATTACTAAAGAGGAGGACCACGACTGTTGGCGCGTTTGGAATAAATATTGGGAATATCGGCATTATAGTCTCCGCGTATGAGCGCACCAATCTATTAGAGTGCTCCAGTTGTGCCGGATCTGCGTCTCTTGCTGCCCAACATCCAGTCTCACTCTGCGTTTTTCTACATTATGCAGAGTTATTTGGTTAATTCTCATCTCTCAGAGTGCCACAATCGTGGCCAGAAAGACTCGTTGTTTCACCCAAGGAGGAGATAATACAGTCAGAAGTGGTGTACAGATCAGCAGAAGTATTACAGTTAGTGGAAGTGTTCAAAAACTCACAATATTCCTTTCCTGACTGCTTATTTTACTGAAAAATGATGCCAATTCTTTGGATTACTTTCAATTTTCACACAGGACCAAAAATAAAAATCTTTTTTGAGATTATGTAATGAATCAGGGACAGTTTTAAAGAATAATTCGTATTCTATTTGCGGAATTAGGCATTTACATGCAATAAACAGTGGCTTTTCTCAACCTTTGATGCCAAGAAACATTGAGCCTCTTTATGCCGGGCCAAGTTAAATGCTAAATTTATCATTAAAGTAGCATTTAACAATATTCGGCTTTATTTTAGTCCATGGCGTTGATACCGGGACACACGCGCTTAAACTGAAATCGAATCATGTTGCAACGCGACGCGCAGTCACGAATGACGTTCAGTGAAGATGTGTGTGAGAATTTGACAGCCCACACGCATGCGCCACCGCGCAATTTGAGCCGACTTTTAAGTCCATGTCGGACTAGCTTTAATATAAATGCTGCATTTATATTAAAGCCGACACGGCATAAAGAGGCTCATTGTAACTTGCAATAAACTCAAAAATAACCTAAAAAATAATTATGTGGACTTGGAAAATGTTCATTTAGAAAGCTTCTTTGACAATTTTGACTTTGAATCAGCTGTTTAGAGTTCATTGGCAGATCATAAGCAGATCATTTTGTGATTTAGAAAGCTCTGAAACTGAGTTTTTGAAGATTTCTTGGTGATATTTTGAGGTTATGGTCAAAAAAGATGTTTAAAAATGAGTTTTTAAGTCGATTCATGCAGAAATATCGGATAGAAACTCAAGAAATTCATTATAATTTAGGAATTCATGTGGAAACAGTCTAAAGACTTCAAGTTTTAAGAAATGTCAGGTAAATTAAGGGCATAATATCTCCTCCTTGATTTCTCCAGTGTTCAATGGAAGCCAAGACAGATCCTAAGTAAAGCCAGGAAAGTCAACATGCCGCACAAGATCGAGGGGAGAAATTGAGTTGAAAGAGGGATAAATAAAAACCCTTTGAAGCTTAATTCGATCATTGAATTTTATTGTATATGACTTTTATCTAATGTCTTTCAATCATCTGTTTTCCTTTCGCATATTACATTTCAATATTTGCATTCTTTTTTCACCCTCTCAAAGTCACAAAGATGTTTTCCTTTCCCTTTTTTCTCTCCTTTTTTCCCGCAAAAATGTACATTCTCTTGCATAAATTTAGTGGTTTTTGTGTACATGAAGAATTCTGAATGTATTGCAAATGAATTTTTGAGTTATGGTCATCTTCCCCTCTGCATTGCGCGGTATTTTGTGTCTTGAGTTTGTTCTTTTTTCCCCATTTTCATTATTAAATATATAGTCTTACAACATACTGATGATAGAATCTGTTTTTTTTCATTTTCTTCTTTTAATATTCTTCAACAACACAGAATATCTTCTAATATTACACATTTATGTATATTGTTTTTCTTCATTCTTAAGTTTGTAACCTCTAAAATCAATTTTCTGTCACATAATTCATGTGTCATTTAATAGTAAATCATTGAATTTGTAGTGTAATTTATCACCTACAATTACTATTCATCCATCTATTTACATCTTTGTCCAAGTTTTCTACCATTTATTCATTCAAGTTTCTATTTACAGAGTCTTTTTCGCAATTGAATCATCGCATTTTAGAAAATAATGGAATTCAGCATTCTCAAACACTCCTCAACAAAATGGAAAAAATATGCAGAAAAGAAAGAAAAATTATACCTTTTCTTATAAATAGTTTTGTTCTCTCTCATCAATTCATCATCACTACAATTAATTCTTGTTATACAAAAGCTAACACTATTTACAAATTACATCAATTCTGTGTGTGTGTGTTTTTATAATACAGTGATTATTTAAATAATATTTTCACTATAATGTAATTTCATTTATAAATACATAATTAGCTTTTTTCTGCTCCTCTCGCTCTTGCAATTTATGTCACTGATAAGAAAGGTTATTTCTGTGAAATGTTGGTAAACAAACTGGACGCAAACACCCTTCAAATGTGAAGCTGAACCGTTTTGCCGTTAGCGTGATTTCGTGTTGTTCATTTTTAAGCATTTCGCGGAGGTTTTTCTTCTTCTTCTAAATCTCCACAATTACTTGCGACTCTCTCATATTAACCCGCACAGACAGTCTCTCTCTTCTCACACAATATTGCGCGCTTGGAATTGTGTTGATGATGGCGGAAACATGATTTTTCATACATTATGCGTGTTATTCCAATTGTGTAAGATAAATTAGATATTAATTAATCGCGCTGCCGCGAGAAAATTTGCTCTCCGACTAAAGATATACGTTAAATTCCAGTAGCGCCTCACTTTTTTCCTCCTCCTTCTTCTTCCCTGGCCACAAGGGAGAGACAAACGATGTAGTAAACATAGTAATTTATGGGATTGGAATTGGGTTCTTCTTTGGTCAGCCGCAGGTCCAGTTTGTTCGCCATTTGTTATATAATTTGCCCTCATAGAGAGTGTAAATACGTGTGATTTCGTCACGCCGAGATTACCCTAAGTGCATCGCGCCGCCCATGAGACTGGGATGGAAGTAGCCCATGTACAGCTGCGCCCCGGGCGCGCCGCGGCCCAGCGCTGCCATCTTGATCTTCTCCAGCTCAGCCTCTTGGAGTCGTTTCGCCTTGGCGCGCCGGTTCTGGAACCAAATCTTCACTTGGGTCTCAGTCAGTCGGAGGGATGATGAGAACTCTGCCCGCTCGGCGATGCTCAGGTACTGCTTCTCCCTGAACTTCTTCTCGAGCGACAGCAGTTGCTGCGTTGTGAAGGGCGTCCGTGGTTTCCTGTTGGGTTTGTGCTTCCGCAGGTTGCACTTTATGCGCGGCGGTTCTTGGTTATCTGCAAAGGAGGAGAGACGAAGAGAGCGCATTAGCATGACAAATTCATCTGCGGAGATTCCACACTCTTTTCACTCATAATAGATCTCGGGGGGACACTTAATTGTTTCTCCTATCTGGACTTCTTGGCTTTTTGGAGAGAGACACAAGAAAGAAAAAAAAAGTGAGAGAATCTATTAGAGCTTCCTCGGGAATTTTTATTCAAATGATTTCTCAACATTCTCAACGACAAAGTGGTTAAAGTGTTGTTAGGTAGCAGCGAAGCAATTAATTGGGAATAAACTACCGGTGATTGATCTCACCGGCGAAATTCAGCCTGAAATATTTGGTATTTATACATCCCAGAGATTGTGTCCAAGAAGCCAAAATACTGCCGAATAGAAAACACCTCTAACTGGACCAAAGAGTTATTTCGATTATGTGATTTTAATGTCACGTTTCTGAATTCAATTTCTGATAGCACTATCCGTAATGTGCTGTCGGACTTCTCGCCTTTTTACCTACCAAAAACCAATTTTCTCCATCTGTCTTTATTGCCCCGCTCAGTTTACACATTCTGGACGAATAGCACTATTATAGATTATCTCCTATACTTCTCTAAATTGTTTGCCAAGAGATTTCTCTGCGGCTGCCGATTTTCGAGCAGCTTTTTTCTTCTCTTCTCTCTTTCCCACCTTTTGAGTGGTATATTGACAAGACACACATTCTAAGAAGCGATTAGACAATTCCCAATTGACTCTCAATATCGCTGATAAATATTTGACGAATGTATGAATCAATATAAATAGAAACTCATTCCATTGCAAGTGTTGAGGAAAAAATAAGACAGAGTTAAAATTCGTGGCAATCCGAGTGGAGACAGTGAATTAATTGTGACTCACTTAACCCACATGTCTTTTCCCCCCCAGTCCTGAAGAAATGCATCGCTCGGAAGTTTCTCAGAAGTACTTGTCAGCTGAGACAGAAGCAATTTTATTGAATTCCGCCGGAAGATAAATTTACGCCTCACTCAGAGTCGCTTAATCTTCACGCATTCACCAAAGGGTGCCATTCTTGATTCTCTCACGCACTTCACACACGAAATCATCCACTGAAGAGTCTCAGGCGATGCACCTCAATTAAGATTGTCAAACATCGCAAGATCAACACGCGTTGCAACTTTAAGATTATGATTTTCCTAATAAGTGTTGCAAGATTACGATTAGTATATTATAAGAATGTGGTGAATTTAACTTCTGTGAAGCCTGAAATGTTTCAAACGTTGACGTCTGACGTCAATTCATATTTTTCATCTCATAAAGGCAAGAAAAGCCGGAAAATTCACGTGAAAATCAAGGAAATTAAACAATAATGACGTTCTTATGTAAATAAACACAAATTTATTGGATTTTTCTGACCATTTCGGCACATTTCAATGCACTAGATTGAGGTTATGTGTTTTAGAACGTTCTTTGATCCTTTCCAAGGAAACTAATTAAACTAAAAATGCGACTGTGCTGAAGTGTCACAATAAAAACAGTTTCTTGAAGATTCTGGCCAGCAGAATCCTTCAAGAATCCCATTGAAAACACGCCCAATGTCAGGAACAGTCGCACATTCTTCGTGCTGAAAACATCCCTTGGCAATCGCCAAAAACTCCTAGAAGATCCTTGAGATTATTTTCTGAGGAACACGGAAAAATGGGCTTCAAAAATGGCCGCAATGAAACAACTTTCTGACAGCTGAAATTCGTATTAAATAAACCTAAAATTTGCCTTGCAACGGCTTCTCATTCGTATTTAATTCTTACTTTACACCAGCGCCGCCGGGCGGCCGCCAATATAAGCTATGAAGAGCGTAAAGTTGGAACGTCAAATTCGTAGCTTTTAAGGACTGAAGTATGAAAGCCGTAATGTTGCAACGAGACTTAATTACGCTTCGAAAATACTTTAATCATCGAAACCCTGTGACCTTAGAAAGAATATAATTTACGACAATTCCAGTTAATTGGAAGAAAGTAGGAATTTCCCAAGAATGCCGTCGAAAAACCCCTCCCAGAAGATTGCGGCCTTGTCATGCGTAGTGGCGGCAAAAGAGGGAGAAGATCTCCAATGTACTAATCGACTATTAGCATTTAAGCGCTTTCAGAGTCTCTCACAACATTAAGAAGGCATCAAGTTGAAAATTTCCATAAATAAAGTGTAGCATGTGACCACTTTCTCACTTAATTTTAACTAACGAGATAATGTTTTTCACTGATGCATTCCACGGGGGAAACTCAAAAACGACAATAAATCTCTTTCGGGGCGTCAGAAATTTATTAAGTCTTTCCATCTTCCCCAGAATGCTTCTCTTCTGTGTACACACATGTGTCGTTTAAGTGACAATTTTTACATCTCACAGCGACACACAAGTAGCAATTTACACGAAAAATCAAAGGGAATCATTTGTTCTTCTTCTTCTGGCTCTTAATGCCGCGGACGATAAGACAAGGCGCAAAAGGCGCTCTCCTGTCTTGTCAAGGAAATTTACACAAAATGTCTAAATGAGGATCTTTATAAAATTGAAAATGTCAACAGGGTCTTATGTGGTCTTGTTCTTGTGTTAATGATTCACTTTTCCCGGCTTCTTATTACTGATGGTGATCGATTAAGCTGCCACTGCGCATATTGAATGTTAAATGCCATGTTAATATGTGGTTTGTGGGGGTAACAAGACACTTTCCTTAAACACATGATAAATGCTGCACAATTGGAGAAAAAAGTAAGGCGATTTCTCTTCTGGACTTCCAATCATAACCATGAAGAGTGGATTGATTTATCACATCATCCACCGAAATCCTTGTGCGCCATTTCGCCAAAGAGATCAACATTTCAATTGTGTGTCTCATGAGACACACAATGTTCCATTACAAATTTGGCTTTAATCGCGGTAAAGCACTTGAAGGCACGATGCAATTCAACTTGAGCATGAATATTGCAATCTGCACATAAATTTCAAACACTTTGTTGCCGCTTATGTCTCAATATATGTTAAATGTGCCCAAAGAATTTATTGAAATTCCAATCCTCATTGTCGAGAATGTGGGTATCGAAGTGGAGAACATCAACCAATTACACTTGAGTGCAAAATGCAGCAAATGAATAGCATTTGTGTGTACAAACTCGCCCAAGTGATGTGTTGGCCTTTCAAAATCACACTGCACACAATTTCAAGGCGTAAATTAATTTGTGATTGCATCAATGTGAGAAAATTGTGCACACGCGGAACAGAGACAGAGAGACATTTCACGACAAAAGGATGAATTGCTGGCTCATTCCAAGGAGATAATATGCCACAAATCAGTCTCTGTGCAGAATCTTCCACACTTCACACACTTCTGGGCGTCTTTAAAGACATTTTTCATCGCTTTTTTCTGACTTATCACAATCTAATCCAAGTTTTGCCTTCAGAAAATGCTTAGAAAAATTCAGACCAAATTGTGAGGTTATGAATTCGCCTAAAAACTCTTCCTTGAACTAATTTAAATCTTTATTAGCCTGGAAATGATTAAATATAGTGAATCTCTGAATGTTTCCACGGAAATTATCAAGAAAAGAGACATTTTTATGCATTTAAATCATATTTTTGAGGTTATGTTTGATTTTTAGGCTTTTTCTCAAGCGATATGAAGTTTATTCGTCCTAAAATGCTGAAATACGCAAGGAAAAGAGAAATATTCTTAGATTAAGCAAGAATTTGATGATTTTTAGGGTTATTTAATTGCCAAAATCGGTTTAAAATTAATCACATAACCTAAAAAGGCAAACTTTATTAAGAAATGTCTCAAATTGTTGAAAAGAAAAGCATTTGTAATGGAAATATTCCATATTTTTTCCCACTTTCAATTCCAAACAATCACTTTGAAGCTGTACACCACTTCCGACCATAATATCTGCCCCTTGGTTTATTCTTCAGCCATATTTATGATGAATCATAAGCGTTAAATTCACAATTATTCGACTCATTTGCCAAAAAGTCTTCGCGATATCGCAACAGCGCCGCTGAATGTTAGCAAAATGACATTAATTAAGTGACTATTTGAGACTTAAGATGGTGTTTTGATTCATCCGTATTTGCGCAACTAAGTGAAGAAATTAAAAACTAAACAACCGCTATTTTCATTCAAAATCCCCTTAGTGGACATTCGCATTTATACAATCAAGAGGCATTTTATATGTACAACTTCCTGCATATCCACTTAAAGTCATTCGATTTTTTGCCCTAATCACCTCTCGAGAGAGAGTTCCAAACGTTCCAAATCATTTCTCTCACTTAGTACTGGTGCAAAAACCATCCACTAAATTGTGACTAATTAAATGTCTTCGAAGCTCTTCGCGGGGGGAGAAAAAACAGCAACATAGCGAGAAATAAATGACTCTTCATTCGCAACATTTCTATTCCACATGGTAGAAAATATGATATGTTTCATTTTGACACAAAACTATCAGCCATTCTCGCAAATGGGACTAAATTGCCAATTAAATAAATCAAATTGAAACCGACAAATGGCACATTCGCAATTCAACCACTCATTGAATTGATCTTTCTCTTCACGTTAGAAAAAAACACACACACCATATTATATATAGTGTTGGAGAGAGATCAATATGTTATTTCATAACACGATCTCATATCGCACATTTTGAGCTCAAACAGGCGTTCGATTCACAAGAAATGCACACGCCAGACGCCAGCTTTTATTACAATAAAAGTGCGATATGTGAGCGAATTTGTGGAAAACTATTGTGTCTGGGTTTGCCTAATGTGAAAATAGAAACCGCGACAGACATAAGGAAAAGGAGAAGACAAGCAAGAGTGTTTGTTTTTCACGCAAAAACCTAATGATATTAAGGTTTTCCTAATTACTTTTGTATTCAAATATTGAGCAATAATATGAAGCAAAGTCGCCAGAAGATGTAAATCGCGTCAACATAATATTAAAACCTTGTGTAATTCAGTTCACAGTCACATTGATGATTG